TGATGCCTATTGAAAGGGTTACAGACAACAAGGGTCAGCAAACTTTATCTGTAAAGATCTAGAAAGCAGATATTTTAGTCTCTGTGAGTCATACGGCCTGTACATAGCTATTCTGCCAATAAGACATGAAAGCAGCCTGAGACCACACATGAGCAAATGAGTACGGCTATGTCCCAATAAAACTTCATTTACAAAAACAGGTGGCGGGCCACAGTTTGCCAGTGTCTGCCCAAGAACATACTGTTTGCAACATGCAAGGTGTGGGTGGCTGCATCACCTTTATAAGAACAGAGAGGAGTCGGGCTCAGTATTTCAGCCTGAATCCCGCGCTTTGGGAGGCTGAAGTGAGTGGATTGCCTGAGTCCGCAGGTTTGAGACCTGCCTGGGCAACTTGGTGAGACCTCATCTCCACAATAAATCAAAATATTAGCCAGGTGTGGTAGCACGCACCTGTAGTTCCAGCTACTTGGAAGGCTGAGGCGGAAGGATCGCTGGAGCCCAGCAGGTTGAGGCTGCAGTGGCCGGGAACGTGCCACTGCACTCCAGTCTGGGCGACAGAGTGAGCCTCCAACTCAAAAAAAAAAAAAAAGAACAGAGAGGACACTTCATCAAGTCCACAGATCATGTCCTTACTTACTGACACACATTTGTTCAAGAAATGTCTGGGCCTGGCTTGCATTATCATCTGGTATTGAGGTTGTAGGAAGTAGCTAATCCCCTCACCCACCTCTCAACCTTGTCAGCAATGATTGTTATCTAGTGAAAAAGAATCTAACGGTTGCATATTACCAAATTAACAAATCATAGAGGTACCTCATTGTTTCTTTAATGGCCCTGTCACTTTGACTATTAAGACAAATGAGTGAACTTCATGTCAAAAAGCAAGAAATAAAAGTTAAATTTAGGATAAGGAACTCAGAGAGCAACAAATACAAAGCACATATAATGCCAGAGCCAGGCCAACAGGGTACCAGGAAATTCTGAAGACCCAGACACCAGCTCCAGTCCAGAACCCAGGAGGCTAAAAAAGTAATGTGCAAAGGATTGTAATCATTCATGGCGATGGAAGGAAGCAAAAGAATTAACCACCCAAAACCACCTTTCTGTAGTTTTAAGATTAGTTCCTTAATTTTCCAAATAGGATTTGAATCCACTTAATGTTAAAGTCAGATGGAATACCCCAAACTCAGGTAGGCTTTAAAACTAGGCAGACCCCAGATAAAAAGTCACACTAGGAGGCTTCAACACTCCTACTGGGAAAGTTATCTGACCAAGGCCAACTCTGTTTATCCTTGTGGCTTAGTAACCTAATAATAAAAATGGAGGAAAACACCTGTTTTTGTCAGCCACTGCTAGTTGTGTTTCTTCTCTTATCAATTCATCCCTTGAGAAATATTCCCTTGACAGTATAATTGACTATTATTTGAAGCATCTGCCTGCAGAAGGTCTCAAGGGAAGAGTTTCTCAAACTTTGGTGATTCTTAGACACCATAGGGATGCTCAAGGGAAAAGCGCACTTGAGCCCTGCAACCTGCGCTTTTAACAACTGCCCTTGCATGATGCTGATGTGAGTGCTAAGACCGCAAATTGGGAAACACTTCCCGGTGGTGGCCTAATGCATCTTACACTAGACCCTCTAGCTAACACCACTGACCTTGGAATCTGGTGGCCCATCCATGTGCAGGAGGGAGAATTCAACATATAACTACAATTCCGCCACCAACAGCATGTAACTAAATAAGCCTTACAGAGACAAGAATTAACTGTAAAAGTACCAATAATTTAATAGCCCTCCCCCAACAAATTTTTTAAAATCCACTAGTCTGTGGTTTTTAAATTAAGCACGTAAATTGCTCAACTCTATTGCACACCTGCTATGTATCAAACACTGTGCAAGACACTGGTTGTTTATCAGTGATGATCAAGAGACTTGACCTCTAATCTTACTACTGGATTAGGAGTGAGAGTAAAAATTCACCCAAGGCACTTTGTAAACCAACTATGTCTGTAAATCAGCTATGTCTTGGGTGTGATATCCAGAAGCAACAAGGTTAAGAGAAATCAACAGCAGCCATCCATTCCAGCCCCATTTCAAGGCAAAAAGAAAGACAAGCCAAGGGATCAGTCACTGTGTCTTAAGAGTTCAAAATTAAAATGATACAATAACTTCAGGCCTAAGGAAAAAGCCTATAAACAGGAAGAACTGGAGATAAGGTTTTAGACTACGAGGGAAGACCACCTCCCCAAAAAACCAGAATTAGTTTTTGGAGGACAGGCTTTCCTTGCTAGGTTAGTGTTCTGGGAAATCACTGGCATCAGTGTACCAGCTAGCACTGTTGTGAGAGGCTGTATTCTGATTCAGTGAATTTTGGGGGGGAGATTGTTTCAATACATTTGCCCATTTCATAATGGTTGATTTACAAGCATACCTGCCCACACTGTGCTGCATGTTCAGCAGTTTTTGACCAAAAACAACATGACCCTTGTGCCCCACACTCCCTTTCACCTGATCTCACCCTGAGTGATGATTTTTTACTGATGTGGAAGAGTTGAAACAAAAAATGGCAGAAGTGCTAAAAGGCATCAAAATTGACAAGTTCAAAAACTGTTTTGAGCAGTGGAAAAAGCATCTCGATGGGTATACTGCATTTAACAGAATGCTTTGAAAGTGTCTGAAGTTTAAACATGCTAAGAATACACAATTTTTTTTTTTAGTTGGAGTCTCACTCTATTGCTTAGGCAAGAGGGCAGTGGCTAGCTCATGGCCACACAGCCTCAACCTGCTGGGCTCATGCAATCCTTCTACCTCAGCCTTCCAAGTAGCTGGAACTACAGGCGTGCGCCACCACACCCGGCTAATTTTTTAATTTATTGTAGAGATGAGGTCTCTACAAGTTTCCCAGGCTGGTCTCGAGCCCATGAGCTCAGGTAATCCTCTCACCTGAGCCTCCCAAAGTGCTGGGATTATAGACGTGAGCCACCATGCCCAGCCACCACACCATGCCCTCTTGTATACTAGAGCTCAAAACTACAGCATCGACAGCAAAAGGCACAAACGCTTGGACTTGATTTCTCACCAGTGTTTCCATCACCCCTACCTAAGGCAATTCAAAGATACCTGTGTTTTGGGGCTGCTGTGTGTACATGTGTATGCGTATCTAAAAGAAAGAGAAAGAGACAGACAGGCAAGGCAGGAAGGCAGTGAACCACTGTCCATGGGTCAATGCAAACAGCATGACAAAAGGAAAAATTGCCATAGGTTAATGGTTTTTAAAAACACTTTGCAAGGTAAGTAACAAGGAACACCTCTTGCCTTTAGCCACTCACATCTCTCCTTATTCCGACCTTACTCCCTGCATTCCCTGCTGGGGAGATCCTCTCAACCCTAGAATCCTTCCAAGAGGGCTGACCTACTTTCGCCTGACCTGCTATCAATTATATAAGTAAATGGGAACCTGAAGGAAAACATTACATCTGATTTCAGTCCCTAAGGTTAACAGTGACAGACAGTTGAGCAATATCGCAGTTTGCAAAGGCTCTCAACAGAGCCTGAGTCAAGGAGGCAATGGCGCCATTAGGAAGGCAAGCTGGTAGTCCCTCAGAGAACGGCAACCCCACCTGCCCTTGGCCGAGCCTGGTTCTCTCCTTCACACCAGGGTGATAGTGGACTCTACACAGTTGCGAGGCAAGTCCTGTTAAATAACCAACTCTTGTTTTAAATGAGCAAGCTCTCCATTGCAGCATCTGGCTCCAGCACATAAAATCAAGGAGAAGATTTTCCCAAAGGCTGAGAGTTAAGCTACTTACTGACAGCTGGAAGCTTAATTACTGCTTTTCGTAGAGCATTAACTCCCACTAGCCAATGACTACACATCCTATTAGCCATGTAAATTAACATGTGTCGAAAAATCTCCAAGAAATCAGCCCAAGTTTACAGGAAATCAGGCAGCCGGGTTTGGTGGCTCAGCCTGTAATCCCAGCACTTTGGGAGGCCAAGGCGAGTGGATTGCCTGAGCCCACAGGTTTGAGACCCACCTGGGCAACCTGGCATAGACCTCGTCTCTACAATAAATCAAAAAAAGGAAATCAGGCAGTAGGACTAAAAGAAAGAAGCCACTGAACCCCACCTCTCCTTTGTATGTTCTTTTCATTGGGACTTCAAAGAAATATGTCTTTGTCAAGGATGCTTGGCTACCAGGAAACAACCAAATTCCTGGAGCCTGGAAATACACTGAGCGCCTGTCCTATGCTTCTCAACTCCCCTGACCTCCTAGGACCTTAGACCTTTGGGAATGTTCAAAGTCCAGGATCCTCCAGTCAAGCTATCCCCAGTGTTGTTGATCTAATCCCTGCTTGTGCAAACTCACCTGTTTAATCACACAACAAATCTTGCCAAAAAACTCAAAAGCAGTTTATAGGAGGGACCCCCCCCAAAAACGGAATTATCTTTTGGAGGCAAGCCACTTGTAGTACAGGCTTCCCCTGCTAGGTAAGTTTTCTAAGAACCCATCAGCATCAGTGTCCCAGATAGCATTGTTGTGAAAGGCTATATTCAGATTCAGTTAATTTTTTTTTTTTTTTGAGATTCTTTCAAAGCATTTGCCCATTTCATGATGGGTGATTTACGAGCACACCTGCCCATACTGCACTGGGGGTTCAGCAGTTTTGACCAAAAACAGCATGACCCCCGTGCCCTACCCGATGTCTCTCCAAGCGACTTTGTTTTCCCAGATGAAAAAAGTCCTCAAAGGGAAATAATTTGCAGCCGTGGAAGAGGTGGAACAAGAAACAGCAGAAACACTAAAAGGCATCAAAACTGACAAGTTCAAAAACTGTTTTGAGCAGTAGAAAAAGCGTTTTGATAGGTGTACCACATCAAATGGAGAGTACTTCGAAGATGACTGAAGTTTAAACATATAAGAATACACAATTTTTTATAAATAAATTCCAGCTTTGGGGGGGGGGAATCCCCTGCATATTCCTTAGCACGTTCAACTTACCACCACCTTTGTAGCAAACATGTACTTGTCCCGAAGCTGAAAGTCTCTCACTTCCTCCAGGATCACTTCCTGGTTTTCACGGGACTGAAAGAAGTCTGTACTTCGGAAAACTGTGGAGTAGCCAGAGGGTTCATGCCGTTCAATGTAGATGGTATTTGGCTTGTCATAGGGATCAATTCCCCTGGAAGAAAAATAAAAGTGGTTGTTATCATTTCCATATTTGATTACCAGAGGCATGGCAAAACAACCAATCAGAATTTAGGGTCACCGTGATATGACCTACAAAAGATACTCTGTGTCCAAATATACATCCCTTTGGTTACCCCTTGGCTCAGTATAGAGGGAAAGGAATTGCCATTTGGAAAGTGTTTTATGTTGTTTCAAAGCATCCTGGGTTTAGCTCAAGGCAATCTCCGGCCTTGCTTGACACAGCAAAACATAGAAAAAGTACAAGACTGAGTGTTTCAGGATAAATAAGCAATGGACTGCTTGAAGCTATCAGCAAGTTTCTGGCCTAAAGTTATACACCTCAGAGGAATGGAGGGAAGTTTTCCCAAGGTGCTGTATCATCAGAACGTCACTGGAGAAAACCACATTATGAACCTCTGAGTCTGACTTTTCCGAGGGATCCTACCCAGTCTCTCTGTGTTCCCTGCCAATGACACTGATCCATACATTTTGGGGTCATCCCACCCAGTGTATTTCATCTCCTGAGGCTCTTGCACAAACTCTCTCACATACTGATCTCCTTGATGTCCCTCAGAAAGGGAGGGCGCATTTCTCCCACTATGCTTTTGCAAACACTACACTCCTGTACAGAGATGCCTTCTGCACACACACTCATCCCTCCATATAAATCCTACTCTCCTCTGAGGTCAAGTTCAAGTACTCATCTTCCAGGAAACCTTTCTCCAATGCTGTCTTCTCTTCTCTCAACACTAGCAATGTGTCTCAGTAGCACTAAATTCCAAGTTTTTTTCAAGGGGGACCCAAAAAACCCAGAATTATTTTTGGGAGGGCAGGCCCCTTGTAGTACATACAGGCTTCCCCAACTAGGTTAAGTGTTCTGGGAACCCATCGTCATCAGTGTACCAGCTAGTGTTGTAAGAGTTTGCATTTGGCTTCAGTGAATTTTTTTTTTTGGAGATTCTTCCAACGGGTTTGCCCATTTCATAATGGTTGATTTATGAGCACATGACGCTAAGCGTTCAGCAGTTTTTAACCAAAAACATCATGACCCCACGCCCTAGCTTCCCTGTCCACTCAATCTCACCCGGAGCGACTATTTTTGTTTGTCCAGATTAAAAAGATCCTCAATGGGAAACATTTTGCTGATGTGGAAGAGGTAAAACAAAAAGAAAACAGCAGAAGCACTAAAAGGCATCAAAATTCATGAGTTCAAAAACTGTTTTGAACTGTGGAAAAAGCATCTTGATGAGGTGTATTGAGTCAAATGGAGAATATTTTGAAGGTGACTGAAGTTTAACATGTAAGAATAAATACACAATTTTTTAATAAATAAATACTGGGCTTTTTTGGGTCCCACCTCATAGATGAGTTTGAACTCCAAAGGCATGAAATCACCTTAGCTGGGTGATTTTAGAACCATCTCATTACTTCATACAGTAATGCTTCTTAAACATGATATAATATTGTTCCACATTATGTACTAGTCTGAGCTTCCTAGACAGAGCGCAGTTGCCTTGAAAGGCCATGCTGTAAATTTCTTTTTATCCTACAGGGATCCTGACCTGAAGTGACACTTGCTGCATTGGAAGTGTAGGCAATAATTAGAGAAACTAATCCAAGATGAAAAATGTAGAATGACTAGGTCAAACTATCTCAGAAAAGTATCTCTGAACTAATGTCCCCCAAAGAAGCCCCACACAACAGCTAGGAAGATGACTTATCTAACCCAGGTTTCCTAGCATTCTCAAGGACACCACGGCCAGGCGAACCATTCAGCAAATAGAAAAATAATAATTGGGAACATCAGGAAGATAGTATCACAGTAAGGATGCAAAGTGATGACTCAAGGAACGGCAGAAGGCTTCAGCTATGTAGTTGTCTTCATACAGTTCCATATGCACAATGGCTCTGCAAGTATTGAAGGTAAATAGTATCAAATTCCTTCAAAGATGTACTATCAAGAGCATGTTCTCAAAAAAAGAAAAAGAAGAAGAAGAAGGGAAGGAGGAAGGAGGCATGAAGATAAGAAACAGAAAAACAAAAGGGCAGCCTTTTATAATGGGGAAACCTTGAACTTTTTCTCTACAATCAGAAGTCTTAGTCGGTCGTAGAGAAACCAGTGGCCTTGGTCCTAATGTGGGAGAAAACTATTCTTCATTATCAGAAGCTCTGTGTGCATGTGTGGGTGGGTGGTAGCATGTTCTCTTCTACAATTAGAAGTACTGATTAAAGTACTTCCTCTAGCCTAGAGGATATGCAAATTAAAATGAGGCTGCTTGGTATTTTTAAAAAGGCGGAGAGGAAGGAACCTTTATTGAGATATTTTGAGACTGAGCTCACCTCTATTATTCCTTCCTAGCCAAATGCAGCAGCCAACACCTACATAGATAGAAAGAACTGTGACTTTCATCCCAATTCTCTTCCGTAATCCATATTTGGACCTCCCGTTTCTACAAGCTGCAAATTCTTATACTTTGCAATCACTTAGGCTTCCGATTTCTGACACTTCCTGATACCTACTTCCTATTCTCTTTGCCCTCATTCAAAAATTCCAATCCTTGCTCTATGTCTGAGCAGAGTCATGGGGCCTCACTTGGCCTCATGTGCAACCCCTCAGTGATACTCCATAAGGCATCCTTGAGTCCCTCCCCTACCGGTCCGCTACCGTTTTGTCTTACCAATCTCCAGCTCTGAACCATGTAAATTATTAGTTTTCTTCACTCCTGGTGCTCCCAGGTTGCCATGCATTGTTGAACAAATATATGTCATTATTCTGAGAACGTAGATTACACTTTTACTTATCATGGAGAAACTTAGGGGGAAAAATCCCCCAAATACCCTAAAATCCTCTCACAACAGACATGCAATTAGCTTAAATAAGACAGTCCCATCCTTTCCCCTAATACTTCTGCATATCTGCACAGAAGCAGAAGGTACAATATATATTAGGCAGAAGGCCTAATTTTGAAGGTGTTATTTGAGCAAAGATTTGAATAAGGTAAGGGAGTAAGCAGTAAGTACGTATATCTTTGGTAAGAAAGAGCATTCTAAATAGAAAAAATAGTATGCGCAAAGGCCCGGTGCCCTGTGATAAGAATGTACTAAACATTTAATATGAGAGAAACGATGAAGCATTAAATGGTTCATAGCAGAGGAACAGCATGATTTGACTTGTTTTAATAGGACCAATCTGGCCATGTACTGAGAATTAGTTAAAGAAAAACAAGAGTGAAAGAGTGAAAGACCAGTTGGGAGACTAATGAGCGATGACACTGGTGGCTTGGAGTAAAGTAGTACTTGAGTAGACGATTCTAGAAATATATTGAAGGTGGACCAACAGAATTTCCGATAGATTGAATGTGAAGTATGAAACAAAAGTGGAATCAGTGATGACTCCAAATTTTTTGGCCTGAGCAACTAGAAACCAAAATGGGAAAGATTATGGGTGGAGCTAATTTGAGACAGTGAAGATCAAGGTTAACTTGGGAGGCATCAAGTTTACGATATCCATTAGTCATACATGTGATTGAGTGGATGAGTAGTTAGATAAACCCACTCACCCGGCAAACCCACTCCTGGAGGTCTGCCCTACACATTTGCCTGCCCGTGTGCAAATTCACATATTCAAGATTATATACTGTATCACTGTAATGGTAAAAGATCAGAAGGAACTATAACTAGAAACAACTCACTTCTTGATTACAAGCTGTTTATTTCACCCCTCTTCCCAAAAACTTGCAATGATTTCCCATTGCTTTCAAAATTTAGTCCAAACTCCTTTACCAAGCACTACAACTTCACCCAATACACTGTCCAAAAATAAGAACCAATATTCTCTACCGAAGCACCACAAAAGACCCATCTCTGTGCCTTTGGCTACTCTGTTCCTGTGCCTGAAATTCCTGTCATCTACATCTTCGCACAGTGACATCCTACTTGTTGTGCACTAGATCAAGGGCAACCTGCTCCACGAAGCTACACATGATCTTCCCATCTAAAAGGAAGAGGTCCCTCCTCTGGCTTCTCATGCTAGGTCTGTGACTTGCATGCCTTTTTTATAATGTGTGTTATGTACCTGAAATGTCCTTTCTTATCTCCTAAACTGTAATCTCCTTAATAATGAGATCCATAAATTATTCAACTTCTTATACTCTAAAGCATCTAGCAGGTTTTATATTTAGCAGATATTCCAAAAATTATATTATGAATAAACAAATGCATGACTTTTGTATAGAGAAAAATCCTCGTTTCTAATATGCTCTAAAAATGAAAGTGTTTAGAAACTCTACTAACATGCAAGAGCTTCAAGATTCTCCTGGGTTCCCAGAAAATGCAAAAGCTTAGCCACTCCTCTCACAAATAGACCTTACTCCTTCATCCTTCCCTCTTCCCCCAGTGAGTTAGTTGAACTTGTAGCTCTGATTCTCAGGTCTGGAAAATTTGTTTCCTGAACCAAGAGCTTCACATTTCAGGTGAGGGCAGGTTTGTTCACCATGAAGGAGCCAGAACTAGAGAAAGGAGGTTATGTAAGTCAAGATTTCTCAGATGGTACAACTTACCAAGAAAAGGACTTCACATGTTCCTGAATCATGATCCAGGTCTGGCCAAAGTCATCTGACTTCCACAGCTGCAAAGACCAAAACAACAAGAAGTGGTCATGATGCAAGAGGCAGGTACAACCTGAGTGGTATCACCATACTATAATCGCACCTTCTGTGACAAGCTACAGGTTAAGACAGGCACCAAGATCACAAAAGTTGGCTCAGTTACTCCAAAAGCTAACAAGGGCAGGAAAGGAAAGTCAACCTTGAACCTATGGATTCTTTTCTATAGTCACTAAGACTATCAATAGCAACTGGAAGAAAAAATGAGCGTGACTTGCCTTCCATTATATTTTACTCAAAAAATTATATTTTACTCAAGACAAGCCCCCAGGTAATGATAATAACAAAAGGAGTACACTCGGTACTTCTCAACTGAGAAACAGTGTCCTCACAAACCGGAAATGTATAGCAGCATTATTCACAATAGCTATAACACAGAAGCAACCCAAATGTACACTGACAGATGAAGGGATGAGTAAAATGTGGTATATACATACAACGAAATATTATTCAGCCTTAAAAAGACAGAAAACTATAATCCCACACTTTGGGAGGCCGAGGTGAGTGGATTGCCTGACCCCAGGGGTTCAAGATCCGCCTGGGCAACTTGGCAAGACCTCATCTCTACAAAAAATTATCCAGGCCTGGGAACGCATGCCTGTAGTTCCAGCTACTCGGAAGGCTGAGGCGGAAGGATCGCTGGGGCCCAGCAGGTCAAGGTTGCGGTGGCCGGGAGCGTGCCACTGCACTCCAGTCTGGTCAACAGAGTGAGATTCTAACTCAAAAAAAAAAAAAAAAAGACAGAAAATTCTGACACAACATGAATGAACCTTAGGGACATCATGCTAAATGAAATAAGTCAGTCAGCCGGACTCGGTGGCTCAACCTGTAATCCCGCACCTTTAGGAGGCTGAGGTGAGTGAATTGCCTGAGCCGGCGGGTTCAAGACCTGCCTGGGCAACTTGACAAGACTTCATCTCTACAATAAAAAAAATCAAAATGAGCCGGGCATGGTAGCGCGTGCCTGTAGTTCCAGCTACTTGGAAGGCTGAGGCGGAAGGATCGCCAGAGCCCAGCAGGTCGAGGCTGCGGTGGCCAGGAGCGGCCACTGCACTCCAGTCTGGGCGACGGAGTGAGACTCCAACTCAAAAAAAAAAAAAAGAAATACATCAGTCACAAAGTGAAAAATAGTGCCTGATTCCACTTATATGAGGTACCTAGAGAAGGGAAAATCAGAGACAGAAAGCAGAATGGTGGTTGCCAGGAGCTGGGGAGAGGGAGGTATTGCTGGGTACAGAGTTTCTAGAGAAGGATAGTGGTGATGGTTATAAAACAGCTTGAATATACTTATACCACTAAACTGCACACTTGAAAGTGGTCAAGATAGTAAATTATATGTTATGATTATTTTACCACAAACAAAGGGAAAAAAACTGTAATGAGCCTTGGTAATTAAAGATGAATACAGAGGATACTGGGTAAGTACGGAGCACCAAAGGGAACCAACTGAATACCCGGATACGGCCATGAGTAATTAACTTGTTGATTTTTGTCAAAGTCCCTCAACTTCCACAGATGTAATCTGAGGGTTCCTCTGGCCCTAGCAACCATGTATTAAGAAGCATGAGACCAAAAATAACAATAATTCCCCCTCCACTGGTAAGCTGACCCAGACCATACTTAGGCTACTCCCTAAGGCAAGCAAAGGTAAACAGATCCATGTTTTGGTTAAACAACCTGCAAAGAAAGAGAAATGTTCCAAGTTTCCTCTAAGCCAAAACATTCAAGACTCATCATAAATCCAATCATACAAGATTTACAGATTTCAAAGGTTTCTACTAGACCAATATTCTTGATTTGGCAAGTTTCAACCTTGAGATATAAATCCGACTCAGCTCTCTCCTCTCTCAGCTTTCCTGCAAACCTGGGTTCAAGGAGGAAAATACACACTTTATATTATATACACAAGCACTTTTGTGTGTACACTCAAAAGAATATTAAAGTTAACAGTAACTTCAAATAAATTATAGGCGAAAGCAGTATGTTTAAGGTGGAGGATGCAGAGCATAGAACAGAAATTCAACAAGAGGCCCCAGAAGAACTCAGACTCCAGATTTCTCTTCCTAGCTCTCTCAGATTAAATTCCAGAGCCCCAATTTACCCCAGGGGCAAGTGAAGGTGTGCCCGCAGAGAGAAGAGCACCATGTTTAACTGACAGGGCCTGCCAAGTGCTAGGTGTTGACTGCTGGCTGGGCCGCCGACTGAGAGTGCCAGGAGGATATATTTTTCCTGAGCCCTGGTAAGTGAAATAGTAGCTACAAAGGAGAAACCAGCGAGAGAAGGAGGGAGGAGCAGGAGGCAAGGTCACTCGGAGGACACACAAACCACACAGGCAGAGTTGAAAATCAGAGGGGCCCCACGCGACTGTGTTCCAGAAGATCTCTTACCTGCTTGTTGGGGTGAGACCTGTCGAAGCCCAGGAGGAGGTTGGAGGCCTTACTGTGTAGGAGGAGATCAGCTGCCCGGAATGGGATGGAAAAGCCCTGGATGGTACTGCAGAAGTCAAACGTGATCCAGAGGTACTGGGCATAAGCATCCGCAAAGATGTACTGCAAGAGAGAACAGATAAGCTCCGAGCAGGCCCCAGTCAGAGCGCCCAACGCAACCCCAAACCATGTGCAAGTACACTCATGTGCAGAAGGCAAACCAGCACCAAGAGGGGTCACTGCCATACAGAAATTCCACAATGGCTTTCTCCCATCTCCTGGTAATGAAAAGATGTCGGCACTTGCCAAACAAGCCTCAGTGAAGGAAGAAGGGAGGAGATGGGCCAGAGTGAAGCCACAAAGCGGGCTTGTGTAACTAGGTAATGAAGTTGGTCGAGCCTTTCTACTTTCTCCTTTCTTTGAGTCGGAGTCTCACTTTGTGGCCCACGCTGGAGTGCGGTGGCACACTCATGGCTACCACAGCCTCGACCTGCTGGACAATCCTCAGACAATCCTTCTACCTCAGTCTCCCGCCACCACACCCAGCTAATTTTTTTAAATTTATTATAAGAGACAAGGTCTCGCCAAGGTGCCCAGCTGGTCTTGAACCCCTGGGCTCAGGCAATCCTCTAGCCTCTGCCTCCCAAAGTGTTGGGATTACAGACGTGAGCCACCACGCTCAGCCTTCTACTTTCTCTTTTCAACTGACTTGGCCATTCTCACTCCCTGGTGGGACACGGTCAGAAGATGGTTATTGGCAGCTGAGACAGAGAAGTCCTTCTCTTCAGATTGGCTGATCCCAGATGGGGCTGCTGACTCTCCCTGCATCCTCTGAGCAGCAATGGGACATGCCTTTCCAAGAAAAATCGCTAAAATCACATCCATCTGAGAAGATAAGCTACTCCTTCTCACTATTATGCCAGGTGACCAGGCAGCTCTGGGGACCAAGCTATCATTGTGTCAGGCAGGCTCACTCGGGCAGAGCAGGAAGTGGCTGGTGAGCAGGGGCCTCACCTCATTTTGCTTCGCATAAATGAGTGACTTTGAACAAGTTCAGCCGGATAGTGGCTGCAGTCTTAAAGAGTTCTCTGGGGAGACGGAGCAAGACGATTCAACAAGATTCAACAAGTGTGTACTGCACACCCACCATGGACTAGACGCTGACCTGTCACAATGAAAGCCCAGGATCCTTTCTCTCAAGTAGCTTAAAATCTAATGTGGGAGATAGACAAGTCCATGAATGTGACATTAAGTCAAGGGAAAGTGAGATGAAAAAAGAAACCATGGACAGAATCCTGTGAGGACCTAACTAGCTTGAGAGATCAGAAATGACTCCATGGAAGAGGTGGGCCTCAAAGGGCAAGCAAGATTTCCATGGGGAAGGGAACATTACAAGTCTAGAGCAGTTTGGGTTTGGGCGCAAAGGAGGAAAAAAATACAGCATGGGTTTCATGAAAGTACTGAGGGCCTGAGGGAAATGATTGAAAGACAAGGTTGGAAAGCACAGATGATGGAAGGCCTTGAATGCACACCTGAAGAGACCTGGAGGCCAGCCCCTGCTCCCCGAAGAATGAGGTAGGCTCTAGAGACTATACTGTGAAGAATCAGAAATAGAGCAACAGGGACCCGATTCCACCCACAGCAAGTCATTTAAATCCTAGAAGTGAACCAATCCAAAGCAATCAGCCCAAGGACACTTCCCTAATTGATTCCACCTGATCCAGATCAATCTTCGGCTCTGATTCCTTTCAGCACCACAGCCTCGGTGTGGACTAACACTTCACACTTGTTCCCATGTTGCTTTCAGATGTTCTTACTCCTTTTCCTTTTGCGCTTTCTCCCCAAATACAGACGGTAAACATCCCAGGGATTTATTTTGTGTGTTCTTTCTATTGTGTTTCTTTCCCAGAATCGAAGGTAAATGTCCAAACTCTGTAGAAACCTAAATAAATCTAACTGGAAAGGGTAGGAAATGTTTTGAAAGCAAACACTACTATAAGAAAATGCAATGTTATAAGTAATGATGATCCTAAGGGGATCATTATGATTTTTGGCATGGAAGTGTTCCCTACAAATAGCCTGTCTTCCTGCTCCCAAACCACCTAGGTTACTGGGGAAGGAAGCATTTCCAGTTTGAAAAGATTCCTCCAGAAATATGTTCCATGGCTTCCTGCAGTCTCACATTTGAGAATCTAAAAATCATGTACCCAGTGATAGCACCTATCATTGTCCACAGAAATAGCTAAATTTTTTTAAGAGCACTTACTATGTGCCAAGCACGGAGCTAAAGATTTTTCAGGCTTATCTCATTCAGTTCATTCAGTGCTCACAAGTCAATTCTTTAGATGTTACTGTTACACCCCTTTTAATAATGAGGACACTGAGGCTTTGGGTGGTTAGCTGCCCAAGGTAGTATAGGATTGGCAACACTGACATCAATATCTGGCTGGTTAGGGGTCCATCTCTTTCTTTTTCTTTTCTTTTTTTTTTTTTTTGAGTTGGAGTCTCACTCTGTCGCTAAGACTGGAGTGCAGTGACACGTTCCAGGCCATCGCAGCCTCAACCTGCTGGGCTCCGGTGATCCTTCCACCTCAGCCTTCCAAGTAGCTGGAACTATAGGTGCGCACTACCACACCCAGTTAATTTTTTATTTATTGTAGAGACAAGGTCTCACCAAGTTGCCCGGTTGGGTCTCGAACCCATGGGCTCAGGCAATTCACTCACCTCGGCCACCCAAAGTGCTGGGATGACAGGATGAGCCACCAAACCCGGCCCATCTCTTTCGTAACAGTTCATCAATCTTTATCTCTCTTCTTCTAACAAAAAGGCACCATTTCCTGAACTTAGTTCATAGATCTTACATTGTATTATTCGACTCACTTGTGTGCTTCCTCTCTTAACCCATTCCTTACATCTTTACTAGAAACTCTTCCCTGCCTTCTGCGACACTCTCTCATGTCGACTCTCCATCCCCCAGCCCCACCATTACAGCCCCTAATTCTTCTTGGCTGTCTCCTTTGTCTTCAGCCAGTCCCTACCCTCATTATAGCCTCAAAACTCTTCCATCCATCGCTGCTGAACTTGTCTTGTCTTTCCACAAAGCTTCAACTACTGCCTCTAAGAACAAGTATAGTATGGCTTTCAAATCTACAGTCTAACCCTATTGAGATTCTACTTGTGTTCTTTCTTTATCTTCTCATCATCTCTCTTTTTTTTTTTTTTTGAGTTGGGGGTCTCACTCTGTCACCCAGACTGGAGTGTAGTGGCAGGATCACAGTTCACCACAGCCTCAAACTCCCAGGCTCAGGCAATCACTTTCGCCTCAGCCTACTGAATAGCTGGGACTACAGGCACGTGCCAACACGCCTGGCTAATTTTTTTTTGAGGTGGGGGAAAGACGAGGTCTCACTATGTTGCCCAAGCTGGTTTCAAACTCCTGGACGCAAGCAATCCTCCTGCCTCGGCCTCCCAAAGTACTGGAATTACAGACGTGAGCTACTGCAACTGGCTGGCCTTGGCATCTCTGCTTTTAATGAACCAAGATATTTCACTGTGTCCAAAACTGAATTCTTCAAAACTTTCCCTCCAAAGTCCAATTCTCCTCCCCACAGCCAAGTTCCATCCAAGATATACATTCCCCCAGTCCCAGTACTCACAAGCAAGTTGGGTTTCTACTCCAATCCCTCCCTTCAGCCTTCACTCTCAAGCATCTACCTACCCTGTTATCTTTTCCTTCAAAATCTTTCTCCAAATCTGTTCTCCAAAACTGCCTTTTTATTCCTAGTGCTACCAGCATGACCCATGTCCTTACTAAAGACTGTAAGCAGACTGGGGGCAGACAATGGGTTTTCTTCATTCACACATCTCCCAGGACCCTAACTGAAACACTCTCAGGGTGACTTGGAGACTTCATGCCTACATTCCATAATGGCTCCCTTTTTAGACTCTTCTTCACTCTTTCCCTTCCCACCCATCATGAATATTGCCAGGATACACATTTCCCTAAAAGACGCTATTCAGTTACTCCCCTACTCAAAGATTCTTCCATGGCTCCCCTCAGTCCCCAAGGAATCTTCTCCATCTTCAGACAGGGGCTTGCTTGACATTACAAGGCAGCTCAACACAAATCCCCAAGCCCCTGGAAGCGAATCTTACTCACTGCCCTGCACAGAAACCACATATTGGCACCTGGAAGTCTCTGTCCAAGCCTTTCTCTTGCTTGAGGGATCCCACCAACTCTGCTCTATTTATGGAGGGCAAGTGCCCATCCTGAAGCTGCACTTCTTTTTTTTTTTTTTTGAGTTGGAGTCTCACTCTGTCACCCAGGCTGGAGTGCAGTGGCACACACTAATGGCCACCCCAGCATCGGCCTGCTGGGCTCCGGCGATCCTTCCGCCTCAGCCTCCCAAGCAGCTGGAACTACAGGTGCGTGCTACCATGCCCGGCTAGTTTTTTTGTTTGTTTGTTTGTTATTGTAGAGATGAGGTCTCACCAAGTTGCCTGGGCGGGTCTCGAACCCGCGGGCTGAGGCAATCCACTCGCCTCAGCCTCCCAAAGTGCTGGGATTACAGGCTGAGCCACTGAGCCTGGCCAGAAGCTCCACATCTAATCCTTCCTAACCCCATGAAGAGTTGACTTTTCTGATCCAATCTCAATTAATTACCCCAACTCTAATTATTTGTAGATTCCATTCTTCATTGCTTGGGTACATGGTACTTCATGCTGTTATGTAACAGGTCACATATGCACATGTTAGGAAGGCACAAAATATCCTACCCTGCTTTAAAGTCCCTACCCTGCCTGGCCGTCAGGTTTACTAGAGGCCACCCCCACAGAATGACCAACAGCTGATCTACCAGGTACTTCCTCAACTATGCAATTTTGGGAGTGTCTTTGTGTACCCCAACTTTCCAACTCTGCTTGTAATCACTTACTGTGCCACAGGAGCTTCATACTTTGGTTGAAAGCTATGATCCCTCTGAAAATACAAACACCTCAGGGAAGAAAAACCCAGGTACAGAATTTATCTACAGGTTGTTAGCCTAAGTGGCTTTCTCTAATTTCAAGTGGAAAAACCAAGAGTACCATGAAAGGAGGAAGGGCAGAGAAGGCAATGAAGGAACATCCTTCTAGAAGTTGGGAACAAAGGAAAAGAGAGAGAATTGTTTTACAGTTTTACCTAGGATCAGCCTTTGCCTGGAAGAAGGCAGGACTGGCCTCTCACTTCTGCTGAGGCTGAGGCTGTGAAGTCTAACTGCACACTCAGTGGCCTTTTTAAAAGAGTGCCAGCCACATTTAGATACTGCCTGACCCATCTCAGAGGCCCTGCAGGGCTAGTGGGACTGCCAGGTGACTAAAGTTGGACATTTGGGCAGGAAGCAGCATACAGAGGACCAAGAAGGAAGTGGGATTGTTGGCTAATGCAAAAATAGACCCCAAAACTCATCTGGCCCTACAACCACTCCAATTCCTGCACAAGGCAAAGCCCCAGACTGAAGCTGGTTGCTCCCTGGCTGGCTGGCATATTCTCACCCCTTCCATAGGCTTATAACCCCTGATATCTATGCTGCTCTTTCCTGACATCTTAACCTTTCCCAGCAGCTGCTAACAATCATTTCAACCATTTCAAATGCTACCCCTTGGCAGCCCACCTCACATTTTCACTCAGGTGACTTGCAGAGCACCCTGCTGTTGACAGCAAAGCACCCAGCTTTGTGTGATTTTTCTCAGGAAGTGGTAGGTCTAGTGGGGCAATTTGCCCTCCAGGGAACAAAGGCAAAAGTAACAAACCAATCAGCACAAGAAGAGTCATCCTTTCCTTCCTGAGAAGTCTGGGGAGGGGGTAACAGCCTTCTCTGGGGAATTAAAACTCTACAGAGAAGTCTGCCTCCCTAATCCACTCAGGCTGTTCCAGGCCTGATGTCCCACTGTCATTAAGGTCTCCAAGAAGGCAGCCTCTTTTTTTTTTTTTGAGTTGGAGTCTCACTCTGTCACCCAGACTGGAGTGCAGTGGCCGCTCCCGGCCACCGCAGCCTTGACCTGCTGGGCTCCGGTGATCCTTCCGCCTCAGCCTTCCAAGTAGCTGGAACTACAGGTATGCGCTACCACCCCCGGCTGATTTTTTATTTATTGTAGAGATGAGGTCTCACCAAGTTGCCCCAGGCAAGTCTCGAGCCCGTGGGCTCGGGCAATCCACTCACCTCAGCCTCCCAAAGGCGCGGGACTACAGGCTGAGCCACCGAGCCCGGCTAAGGCAGCCTCTTTACTCTCCTGACTCGTCATTGCCACCAACTCCAAGGCACACCATTCTTGAAGGCAGGACAGCACCTGGGCTGCAAACACGTGACCCCATCTAACCATGCAGCACCCAGACTCTTTTAATGTAGCCACCCCCAGGTTTCCCCTTCCCTCATGCCCCAGCACCATGGCCCTGCTCTGCTCCTTTTCCAAACCCAATGATTCCCAATGCCCCTGATCCTCTTGCCTGTACTAACCTTCCTCCTGCAAGTCCAAAACATCATCTTTCCTGTCTTCTGACTCTTCAGACTTGTGGTCTTAGCAGCTGCTCACCACAACCCTCAACAAGCAGGAAGGAAGACGGACCCTGCCTATAGACATCTGCACACTATGGCAAGAGGTGAGGAGGAGCCAGATGGAGGTGAAAAGGAAGATTCCACAGCAACAATGGGGCAGTTTCAAGGCCATGACTTCAGCAAGATTTAGCTCTGAGACGATGTATGAATATAGTGATAATAATCACCATCAGATAAGTACAACCTTATAAAGTTAATAATCCAAGTATTGATTGTTTTTCAAAGTTATTTACTATCTAAATTGATATATAATACTGAACACACTTGGCACATACAATGTAATGTTTTGAAGCATATATAGATTGCATAAGGTTTAAATCTAACTAATTAACAAATGCATTACCTCATATAATTAATTTAGTGGTGAAAACACTTAACATCCACTCTCTCCTTTTTTCAGGCATACAGTGTATGAGCAAGTGTTATTTGACTCTTGAGAGGCAGGGAACACACAGAGCTATCCACAAGAAAGGTGGCACAGGAGGAGCTAGACCCTGGGCAGGACTCCTGGTCTCACATGAGCCAAGGGCAAGGCAAGCAGTAAAGCTCACCCACCTCTTGGAGTCCAGGAGACCAAGCCTGACTGGCCACAGTGTGGTGGAGGGGAGGGGCGCAAAGGCCTCTAGTCTACAAAACCAATTCCCTCCAACACCTTCTCTTTGCTTTTCACCCCAGGGAAAAATTGTGGAAGTTTGCTCCACTCTGAGCTCATTAAGTAGAGCTGATATTTAACCAATATGTACCATTGGTGACTATTCCACTAGTTAAGAAACAGCTACTCTGTGTCAGTTGGTAAACAGTTGCTGCCCTAAAACCCATGAGTCATTTCTCCTAAATCCCCAGTGGTCTGGTCCCTTCCCTAGGACCTCCCCCTCCAACCCAGCAACAAAAAGGTTAATGCCTGGCCCAGCAGGGGACCCCCAGGACCTCAGGACAGGGTCTGTTCTGATTGGTCAGTGTCCACGCTACACCAGCTAAATATTTTGAATGTGGTCCCAGCAAAAAGACCACCAGCAAACTGAGAAGCCAGTACCAGGGACTCTGTCGATCTTCTTGTTTGTTCCTGCCCGAATGAGCTGGAAGCAACAACTACCCTTGCCTCAGACAGCGTTTGCAACTAGAAAGCATTCCTTAGTTTTTCTGCTTAAGGGTCTTTCCCTAGAAGAGTCATCTGGCCTGGAAAGGAGCTACGTTATAAAAGGGTGGGGAAGAAAGCAATCAAATACAACTTTCCGAGCTGAGAGTGAAGCCAGGAGCTACCTAACTGGCAGGCTTGAGTTCCTGCCCTCTCTCCACCCGCCCCCAACCACCTCCCTGGGGGCCCAGGGTCAATGCTTCCTCCAAATCAAATTGCCTAACAGGAGAAGCAAGGCCTCCAGGCCAGCCAGCTGGGAAAACAAAGCAGGAGGCAGAGCAGTATCTGCTGCTTTGGCTTTCTTTTTTCTTTCTTGTATCAGTATAGGTTATAGGAGGAGGAAGGCATGTACACGTATGTACACACACACGCACACACTGATGATATCTCAGAAGACGTGGATTCAACTGCAATGTTAGTTCTGGGGTACCTGGGAAACATTTTTGCCACCTGTGAGTCAGGCAATTTATTAGTTGGCTGATTTTCTGTGCTTTAACCCACCAGTGTTTGTCTAGAAATCCTGCCTGACCAGTACCTGGCCTCCCTGATTATGCACAAGCTCACCCTGAGAACTGTATTCTACCATAAACTCTCAGGTTAGCAGAAAAACCGTCACTGGCCATCAGATATGCTGCAAAGATCACAAAGCACGCCATCTCCCAGCCCCCACTTAAGTGCAGCAATCTTCCAAAAACACAGGCCAAGGGAGGTCAGGACAGTTGGGATAGCAGTTTCCTTACCCGCTTGTTGTCTGCAGGACTGTGGTAGAACTGAGCAATCACAGCTTCACTGCTATTTCCCACGCCAAAGTTTAATTTCTCTGAAATTTTCTTGAATGATTTTCCATAGTCATATGACACATACACCTGAAATACAGAGAAGGAGAACAAAAAGAAAAGGGCTGGTGAGAAATCGGGCAGAAACACCTCTCTCAAGCACTCTGCCCTGGGATCCTGAACATGGTTGCCATTAGGTCAACCATGTTCATTACCATGACATTACAAATGTTACCAGATAACCCATAAAGGAGAACAGGACACCTCTACTTCTGTTGCCAAGCATGTGGGGACAGAAAGTGTGGAAACGCTGCAGCCGCCACTGCCTGGCATATACCAGCCTCTTTCCTGAAGCCAAGACGAGGCCCTGGAGCAGGAGACAAATGGTAGAAACAATGATAACCTCTTCACCACAGCTGGGTTAAGTGCTGAACAAATTACATCTAGTGGCAGAGAGAATGTGACTTTCTGAGGGGAAAGGAGTTGAGAATTTGTTTTGCCATCTGTTGAACTGTTCCCAAAAGGTGTCTAATTCTTCAGCCCTCTGCTGGGAAGTTCTGTTCTTACAGCATTCCATACTCAAGAAAAGAAAACACTCATGGGTCTCCACCTAGTAGCCCAAGAAATGGAAAGGAAAGAGTGCTAAGTGATTAAATATGCAGAGATTAAAATACTGGTAACCTGAATCCCTTCTCAGCACTTGAGTTTTAGGATTGTAGTATGAGAACTGGTAGTAGCAGCAGGATCCATGAGTTTGCCAACAGTGTTTGCTTCTCTACTGTGTCCTGGTGTCTAACTATGCAGTAACCACAGGGACAAAACATAACGTCTGTCATTCCCTGAGTGCTTACTACGGGCAGACACGGCATTAACCTCCTCTTCAAATAAATGAGATCAGGTAACTCTCACAACAACCCTACATGGCAAGTGCAATTATTAAAACTGTTTTACAGATAGACAAGAGGGGCTTATGAGATGAGTTACTGGCCAAGGTAACACAAAACAAGTAGCAGAGTGGGATTCTAACCTAGGCTGCCTGCCTCCAAAGTCAGCGATCTCAAAGCCAATACCACCTCAGGTATTAAATAGTAGAATGAAAATTGTCAGATGTTTTGTACCTAGACTTTACTACCTGTGAGATGTGAAATATAATATAATCAATGAGTTAAAAATAAGCCTGACAGATGAATATAATAATATCTTATTTTTCAAATGACCTATGGGAAAGGAAATTGGGGTCAACAGTAAAGAAGCATGATAGGTAAATTCCAAAAGGAACAGGAACTACTAGACTAGCCTTAGAATCCTTGCCCATCTGAGTCAACAGCAAACATGCTTTGAGGGTCTCACATGAACCAAGTACCGTACTAGGCACCTGACATACATAGACCAATAAAAGACAAGGTCTTTAGACACAATGGGGATGTAAACATGTAAATGTTTATAAACAGTGTCCCATATAAACATGAGGTAAGCATGAAGGAAAATGAGAGTATACACAGGTTCTTAATACTTACTAGATGTCAATCAAGGTTAGAAGCCACCAAGACAGAGCCTCTGCCTTTATCTGGGTGACAATGGAAGAAACTGTTAGAACACAGTGTATGTTCCTAACTACCAAACACACAGCAAGGGGTTGCCATAAAAGCAGCTTTAAAAATCCTGCAGGTTGAGAGTTCACAGATAATCTAAGTGGGTAAAGAGATGAAGTGGAACTTTCTCAATTCCATTCTGCTTGTCAAGAATGAACATTCGCACCCTAGTTAGGTTCAAGAATCAGATGTAGCAAACTAATGGCTTCTCAAAAACAGAACTAAGAACCCTTCCAGCTCTGCCATCCCATAATATGATAATCCACTTTGATTTATTTCTTTAGTGGCACAAAGGCGATAGTTTACATTAGGGTAGCACTTTTCAGTACACAATACTCCTTTATATACATTATCTCTTTTCATCCTTAAAAATCCTAAGTCAGTCTCACCCTTGTCTCCTTCAACGTACCTGGGACAGAGCAGGTACTCAACAAAGATTTCTGGAATGAATAAATACCGTTATAAACCAAAGAGTGAGAAAATGAATGTGCTAAATAAATGAATAAAAGAGAGTGAGCCAAATGAATCGGTGACTGACTGACAGAATAATTATTTCCTTTTAAGAGATAAAACAAAAACAAAGACTTAGAAGAGTGAATTACTAGCCCTGGGGCATAGTGCTAGTAAGTGACAAAACTATGAGAGTTTCTTCCAATTCCAAGTTCAGTTGTCTGTCTACTCCCACAAGTCACCTTCTAGGAGAATGTTCTCTTTTCCATGTTACACTTCTCTGTTAAAAAGAAAGAGCATACCCCAAATCTAGAGGCCAAGCTCTGGAAGGAGTGCTGGCTAGCAAAAGACTCACTTTAACAAAGCACAATGGCTTCCTAAGATTCTCAGTCATGCAGCTGCCATTGTGTGCCTAGAGGTAAAATCACCTTCATTACCAAAAAAGCTCTTCCTCAATTCTCACCTGCAATCAAAACCCATTCTTTTGGTTGTCTTAATAGACACAATAGCAAGTACCCGAGGGCCCATCCTATGCCAGAAGACCATCATAAATTGCCTATCAACTTTCCTTCCCTTCTCCAGGCTAAAGAATTCCAACATAACATTTTTATCCTTTCTTCATAATCCTTATTTATATTTGATTAACATAGACTCTAAGCTCCATAGAACAAAGTCCACTCTCAGGGCTAGGCACAGTTATCCACTTTCCTCCACGTAGAACAACCCAGAAAAGGCCTCTGCCAACGTGCAGTTAACGTCAAATGGGCTGATGGCTTCATAGTCTCCACAACACACCCCCACTTGTGCGTTCTTTTCTGGCGGTCTTTTCTTCACAGCAGCACCATGCTGCTGACTCACTGTCCACTACAATGTCCAAGTGAATTTGGAAAAATACTCTGGAATCACTCAGTCTTGTGCTTTTACAGTTTGTTTCTCAGCCAGACATAGGTTTCTGCACTAATTAGTCCCCTCCAACCTCAATATGACACAACTCCCTAAAGAACAAAGCACAACAGAGAAGTTACTGCACTGCCCAAAGTTAGATACTTTTGTTACTTATAAAGTAAGTGGCTTTAAAATTCTTTCCTTTGTTCTTCGAAACCATATAATAATAATGAGGAGGGAGAGGAAGAGGGCTAAAACGCACAGAAAACATCCCCACAACTATTGCTGCTCTAAGTACTTTGCAACAGTGCTTCTCAAGCTTTAATGTGTCTACAGATCATATAAAATACTTGCCAAATGCAGGCTCAGATTCAAGAAGAGCAGGTGGGACCTGAAATTCTATATTTCTAACCAGCTCCTAGAAAATACCCATGCGGCTGATCCACAGACCACACTTTGGGTAACACGGTTTTATAAGTACAGTTTTATAAGACCAAGAGAAGGTAAATAACCTAACCCAAGGTCAAAGAGCAGATGAATGGTAGAGCCAGAATTCCAACCCAAGCACTGGGATTTCAGAACCTGGGCTTAGCCAGACAGCAGCCTCCTGCTGTTAGCAAGTACTGACCATCCCCTCACACACACACCACACCACCACCACCCCGTGCTGTCAGTCCTTTAGAGGCACCAATCATAATGTCACAGCACTCTGGGGACAAGGTACAGTGAGTCCTGTCATTCACAATATCTTCCCTAGTTGATTCTGATCTTCAGGTGGAAACTCTCTCTGGTTAGCTCTTCGGCCAATTGTTGTACTTGAGTACTTTGTAAACCTGAGTATTTTGTAAAACACATCATGAGAACAGAAGCAAAAAGTATGGGTTAAGGTAAACAACTATGATTTCCTTTCATTGATGTATCACAGGGTCCTGTAAGATGGGTCCTGTAGGAGCCATTCTCTTCATGGCTTCAAGTTCATCAGATGATAATTATTCTTTTTCTTTTTTCCCTATTTAAGAGCAAACCACCTCTGGATTCCAGCTTTCAGATCCATCCTTTTTTATATACTGAATATGTATGACCTTGGCCATTCTCCAACACTAACACAGCTCCTTATTTGTTTAGGTTCTTTTCCTTCTAGACTGCTGATGGGCCTTAGGAACCATGCTCAGTCTTCTTAAAAGGGAATTTAGATGGTTACTACCACAGCACCACAAACTCCTGCCTGTGAGTCATAATTTATTTTTGAATTAACTTTTTAAATCAGAATATCTCTGTTTCATCTGCCAATCCTTTAATGTATACAGATGGAGGGCGGTTCTGCCACCTCTATTTATTAACTCTGGACATTAAGTTTCCTTTCCACTTAATCTTATCTCACATTTTATTCCAGAATAGTTTATCCTTCAAAAGTTCAATGGGCTCTTAGTAAGACACACCCAAATATGCAGAGTAAGAGTTTGGAAGGATTGGCAATACTTAGGGTGACCAACCATTCTGGTTCACCCAGGACTAAGGGAGGGGGAGTCCCAGGATGTGGGGCTATCAGTGCTAAAACCCAGATGAGTCGGTCACCCTGTAACACCACATCCTCACCCAATGAGTACATGATTGGCTCTTGATTCCCATTAGTCCATCCTCTCCCACTGGTATGCTAAGTGACCTCATTCAAGTCGCTTTATGCCCATGGGTGTCTGTTTGTCTAGCAAAACTATAAAACAATGGCTAAGATCCTTTATCTACCTCACAAAAAAATACAATCTAGGCAATTTTTTTAAAATGCATAAGAACTCTAGGGGGGATTTCTCAACACAAAAATCAAGACCTCCTGTGCTTAAAAGGGATACCTATGGGCAGTGACTCATCTAAGCCCATGCACAGGTACCTACGGAGAGTCTCACAAGGCCAACAAGCATTCAGACATGGCCATTTGTGGCCACAACTGCAGCATGCAAAACCTAATCACATTTATAAATGGGCCAAAGTCATAGTCCCAAACAAGCCTAGCCCTGCTCCAGAGCACTGCACCCAGACCGGCCATCAGCAGCAGTGATTTCCCATATACCGTGGCTCAGAACCCACCCTGGGCAAAGCTATGTATAGCCAGCCCTTCTTCTGTACTCCCTGTCTGTGGCTGCCCCAATTCCATGCACTAGAAAACAGCCCGGGGGCTCCCTCCAGTCACCTGCTTCTGAACACACCCAACCAGATATACAGCAAGGGACCTCTCAGAGACCAAATCTACATTCAAGAATTACAAGCATATCCTTAAGGCTGATGTGAAAGCACTGGCACACTCATCAGAAGGTGTCCTCTGGCCAGAACACAGGGTGACCAAAGCTCTAGAGCGTGTTGTTCCGCCCACAGCCTCGCCCCGTCACAATGTCAGACCCTGATCCAAGACAGAGGTGTCCCGCTTTCCCAGCAGGAGGAGTCTGGCACCCAGGCTCCAGACTTGGGACCCAAGGGCCAGCTCCGGCCCTCACATGTTTTACTTGGCCCACATGTTATCTGTAAAAACTATACACTGGCTGCCAAATTGCAAGACTCTGCGGTTTTCACATAAAAATCCAGATATCTTGGTTTCTCTTAAAAAAAAAAAGAAAGAAAGAAAAAACTGAAGATCTGGCAATATTGGGTCCTGCATCTCGCATGGCAAGCAGAGCCTAGAACTGACTAGCAACAGCTCCCTTACAAGCAATACTTTTCCAGTTCGCCAAAGTCCCCTCCCCTTCCTTATACCTCTCCAACAAGGAGACCAAGTATCAATCACTACCTTTAAATTAAGAAACAGTTTGTGGGCTGGGCATGGTGGCTAAGCCTATAAGCCTGGGCAACTTGGTGAGACCTCGTCTCTACAATAAATCACAAAAAATTAGCTGGGCATGGTGGCGTGTGCCTGTAGTTCCAGCTACTTGGAAGGCTGAGGCAGAAGTATCACCTGAGCCCAGAAGGTCAAGGCTGTGGTAGCCGTGAGTATGCCACTGCACTGCAGCCTGAGTGACAGAATGAGACTCCAACTCAAAAAAAAAAAGAAAGAAACAGGTTGTAGAAGCCAAAGCAACTCCATCTCGGATGTTAATCTGCCATGCTGACTTCTGATTAAACACAGTTCCAGAAAGGCCTCTAAGGTTTCTAGTTTACCTATTGTTCCTTGCATAAGAGTACACATATTATAAATCCCGCCCTTAGGTCAAAACAAACTCGATGTTATCCTACTTCAGTTGTCCTACACACCGCTTCTGAATCATGCCTTCCCTATGGTATAGCAGCCCTGTCTAGAAGGTAATAGAGCCAGGATCCACCTTCCCCAAGACACAGACATGGCTTCTGTTTGTTAGATCCCTATTAAATGTTTCTGAGAAGCTGGATTTGTCAGTCTCTTTGGCCTCTCAGCTTTCCTGGGCTTTTGGGGATAGGTTTGCATAGGCCTGCCACCACAGAACACAGGAGAATATTTCTTGAACCTGCATCTCTGCGCTCAGTGGCTCAGCCTGTAATCCCAGCACTCTGAGAGACTGAGGCGAGTGCATTGCCAGAGCCGATGGTTTTGAGACCAGCCCAGGAAACTTGGCAAGACCTTGTCTCTACAATAAATCAAAAATTAGCCAGGCATGGTATCGCACGCCTATAGTTCTGGTTACTTGGAAGGCTGAGGCGGATGGATCACTGGAGCCCAGCAGATCGATGCTAGGGTGACCATGAGCATGGCACTGCACTCCAGCCTAAGCAACAGAGTGAGTCTCCAACTCAAAAAAAAAAAAAAAAAAAAAGTGGGGAAATGACATATTGTCCAAGAAAGTCACAGATACCAAAATAAATAAATAAGTAGGGAGAGACCATTTTTCTTTGTGGAGGCAGAGAGTCTTGTAATTTGAAAGCAGCTTCACTCCTATCCTTTACCTGCCTGGTCCCTCATAGGCCTTTGAATTTGTAACCCTTGACCCTGTGTCTACAAAGTGCCTAACCTATTAAACATCAAAAAGAGCCAACTGTGGAAATTAAGAATATCAGAGAATCCATTTCAATGGCTCACTCAACTTTAGAAATCAACCATGGGAAAGGTCAATTAGATTCCATCCAGCTTAGCCGCAGGCGGGCAACTCTGCCCAGGAATGCACTTCTGGCATTTTCTTGAGCAGATATAACAATCCAGACCCACTCTCACTTCGCAAAGGTAATCACACATCGCATGGATCTGTTTACAGCACTGACTGCACAGGGTGCTGTGTTCAACAAACAAGGGATATATTATTTTCTAGATTCTCTTTCCCATCATATAATTCATCCCACCCATTCTCCAATTACCCACTATTTTTTCTGGCAGGATAATCCCAAGGATCAGAAAAGGGCATGTTGACAGAACCAAGAAATGCCCAGAGTAACACAAATACTTACATCACTGCTCTTGGGTCTCGCCAATGCCAGGCTATCTCGGGCTAAGGCCACGATCACATTGCTTTTCTCTCCAGCCCAGTGCACCACCATCTGATTGTGGGAATCATTCAGACTAACCTGAAAGAGATCAACACAGGAATTAGGACCCATGATGAGTGACAGCCACAGACATTCTAAATCAACACTTTTTCCTCCTTTGTCAATCAGAAATGACTGAGATTCTTGCATCTAAAGCATATGGGACAGGGTAGCCTATTCCTTACCCAAATATTTCACCAGACTTAACCCCACGAAGAAGCACAAAAGCCTCTCGCTCTTTTGGAAGTAATTGAGAATTGCAGAAAATCTTCTCAGGCTCTCATTGGCATAATCAATTTCATTGCTTATTTTCACCCTTTGTGATATCAATCTCTGGTTCCTCGGATCCTTACTCCGTAGTGTGACACACACTGGTAAAATCTTAAACCAAAACACTAAAATATCTACCCTCATTCAAAAAATGTTTGTGGGCCAGAAAGACTTCATGCTTTTCAAACTTATGTTCAAACTGATATTTTCTCTAGCCTGGAGGTGCCATTATTTACTTTTAGCTTGTAACGAGAAGAAAGGAAGGCATCATTGTGAAGTCATTTAAAAATTATTTTTGAAGTGTCTCAAGCAAGGAAATATTTTCCAGAGCTCAAGAGAAATGACCTTTGGATTACTGCTAACAGTTCTTAGACTTTTAGATTCTGTAAAATAAAAATAAATCACAAAGGCCAACAGAGGACTGGTTGGCAACTGTCACTTGGCCAGGTAAGGACATTAATGAAAGCAGCCATTGTGTCAGGGTTTGACTAGCTATTCTCTAAATGTGTTTCCTCTGCTTCCTGGAAACACCTTACACTCTTGCCCAAGCTGCAAGGCAAGGAACTGTGGCCTTGGGACTGAGTTCTAGCCAGTGGAACGTGAGAGAAGGTTATCAGGACCACTACCAGCCCTAGCTGCCATACAAGCGCTATTTTCTTTCCCCATCCACAGGCCATATTCAGACGACTCTAAAGTCCCAGAGGAGGACAGAGCCTAAAACAGAAGAAGCCCCCGTTCCCAAGGAAAAGACCCTCGACTATCACTAATGCTCATCCTGATCGTCTCCTAATCCAGAGATCTATTCACACCACTGAGCTTTTGGAATTCATCTATTATTCATCTGTTATTGCTCTCCTAAGCAATACAACCACTCTCTAGAATCACCATCATTTTTAAATGATATTTGAACACCTAAAACTGAAGAAGAATATAATCTCAGAATAAAGACTGGTTCTTAGGCATTATGGAAAATTAACTACATTACTTTTTTATTTTTTCTTATTTCACCACTCACTGATGGACACTAGTTCAAAGACTGGTATTTCAGAACACCTGAGGCACACATTCTACCCACTCTTTGTGGAAAGCAAAGTGATGACAATAATAACAAAAATTCTAAGACCTGGTGTAACACTCAGAAGCAGAACAAAGCTCCCCAAATCAGGAGTATGTGCTATATCTCTTTGCTGAGCAACGTCAGAGAGAAGCCTATTCCACCAGCCTTTTCAACCTCAGCTGTCTAAGGCACATGCAGAAAGAAATCAAGCTCCTGGGACTCAGCCTGCACAGTCCAACCCACCCATCAGCAAGTCTTGGACTGATGGCAGCTCAAGCCTGGGCCCACCTGCCCTTCGAGCTGTCTTCTAACCAAGGCGCTGCAGCAGAAAACCTACAGCTCCTTTCTCCTTCTTTTGCTTCTTCCTATCTGCCCCCCAACATACCAAACCTTCCCCACCCACTTGAGGTGCTCTCAGATATCGCCAGGGAGAAGAGAAACACCTGTGCCACAAACTTGGCCCAGGACAAAGGAACTAATCCTTAACAACTATGGTTGGGGTTTTAAGCACCTGCATCGAATTTGATCCAGGATCCAAACTCTTTTGAAAGGTATTTGAAAGGGAACTTCTTTAAAGAAAAGGACCTTTGGAAAATGCGTCCTTCCAAAATGTCTCTTGTCGTTCCCAAACAGATAAGTCCAGGCAAGCATCAATAAAAAAGTGTAAATAAAAAATGGAAGTAAATAAACCGTTTGACCTAGAATGCTACAAAGAGAAAGCAGCTGAAGGAATCCCTACCCGTCGCTGAGGCCTTCTCTCTTCCTCCTCTCTCCTTCTAGCCCAAGTCTCTGGGAGGAATCTGGAAGCATCTATAGATCAGAAGCCCACAGCACAGGTGCTCTGGAAATACAAGCTAAAAGTCTCCCCTCCCAAAACATCCTCCCCTTGGACCAGAGAAGGATAGAAAACTAGGCAATTATCAATACAATAAAGAACTAGAGGCCTGGCATGGTGGCTCACACCTGTATTCCTAGCACTTTGGGAGGCAGAGATGAGAGGTTTGCCTGAGCCCAGGGGTTTGAGACCAGCCTGGGCAAATTGGCAAGACCTCATCACTACAATCAGTCAAAAAGTTAGCCTGGCGTGCTGGCACGTGCCTGAAGTTCCAGCTACTTGGAAGGCTGAGGCAGAAGGATCCCCTGAGCTCACCAGGCCGAGACCAGTGGCCATGAATTTGCCACTGCACTACAGCCTGGGCAACAGAATGAGACTTCAACTCAAAAAAAAATTAGGAACCTAGAAAAAAATCACACACATTCACCTAATGTCTGGGATGAGGAAGCCCTCCAATATTCAATGGGGGCATCCTCAAAGAGGAAGTAAAATGCTCCCTCAGGCAGAAGACAATCAGATAATGCTTTGCGTGGGGAAAAGCTTGAAAACAACTTGCTGAAATCTATCTATTCAGGGGACATGAGATTTATGAGACCCCCCTAACCATCCCATGACAGGTAAGGAGTGCGAAGAGCACAAAGGATAAGCATAAAAACATCCAAAGGCTTTTCTTTTCTTTTTTTCTTTTTTTTTTTTTTTTTTACAAAGAAAGCCTCCAGAAGGCAAGCTTGATGAAAAACCTGTTTTGGTTTTCCTTTTGGGTTTTTTTAAGGCTTTTTATTAGATGTCCCTTTTATTCCTAAGAGCAGACTGTATAAAAGGGCAGCCTGGTAGGGGGAAAAAAAACCCTGGCAAGAAATGGCCTGTACATGGGCCACCAGGCACTCACACAAACAGCCCACATCCTTTGCTTGGCAAGATGTCAGGCACATCCTGGTCATGAGAATAACTCCCTGGTGAGTCATGGCTGATCCCCAAGGCAGCCCAGGTGCCCATCCCCCCACAGCCGAATCAGTCGCAGGAATCAATGCACCCAGGGCAGGAGAGCCAGCAGGCAGGCTGGCAGGACATAAATTTTATTAACTCCAAGACATGCATTCTATTCTCTAGCCTCACCTTCCTCCTATCTCCACTCTGCCTCTATCCCCAACCCAAGAAAAAGAGAGAAAGATGTCACCAAAGCAGGCTTCTCTTGCCAGCTCTCCATGGAATATGGCCAAGACATGGGCAACTCAGAGCAGCCCCCAGCAATCAAGAACAACCCACAAGTCCCTAGATTCCTGTTCTTAACCAGTGACTTCTGGTTTGTTTGGTTCCTTTTCTATCCATCCCCAGGGATTTCCCCCTAACCTCTTCCTCCTTCCTCCCTTCTCCCCCCTACCCCTCCCTCCTCCCCAAACCTTCCCCATCACCAATCCTCTGGGGCAGCTGCAGGATTCCAGATTACTTTTATAAGCTTTGCCTACTCAGGTCCCACAAACAGACCCAGGAGACACTAGCCTGGGTGGCTTTCCCAGGAACATAACCTTGAAGTGCAGTCAGTTATAACCACAACCCCAGGGCGTGTACAACCTTCCCTCTCCCTTTTCTGGCTCACAGGGCATAGCTGGAGCTTGATAAATGAGACACAATTAATTGGAGCTGTTAAGGCAGCAGGGAGGGGGCCAAGTGCCTCCCACAAAAGGCGAGCAGAGAAAAAATCGCAAGCCACAGAAAGCTCTGAACACAGAAAGGACATCATAAACAACAAATTGCATCTGCTAGGCTCACGGGCAGGTCATCAGGAGTCAAGAGAACCCCCAGAGATCACTTGATCCCAAGATCCCATGGCATGCTAATAGTCAGAGTCACTTGAGAGGCCCCACTCCACACCTGCTGGTCCAGAAGCCCTCTCTGCCCAGAGCCCAGGAATTAATATTTTTAAAAGATACATCCAGCCGGGCTCGGTGGCTCAGCCTGTAATCCCTCGCCTTGGGAGGCTGAGGTGAGTGAAATGCCTAAATCTGCGGGTTCGAGACCCGCCTGGGCAACTTGGCGAGACCTCATCTCTACAATAAAAATGAACAATTAGCTGGGTGTGGTAGCGCATGCCTGTAATTCCGGCTATTCGGAAGGCTGAGGCGGAAGGATCACCGGAGCCCAGCAGGTCGAGGCTGCGGTGGCCGGGAACGGCCACTGCACTCCAGTCTGGGCGACAGAGTGAGACTCCAACTCAGAAAAAAAAAAAAGATACATCCCAGGTATTTCTAATGTAATGTATTTGCTTATTTGGAGGTCGATTTCCCCACCTCCTGGCAGAAGCTGGAAATAAAGGAACTACTCACTCTTTTGGAGGGAGGGGTAGGGGGTTTGTCACTGGGGATTGGAGATGGTTGTTAAAACTCTAGAATATACTGGTACATGCTACGATGCGGATGAACCTTGAAAACAATATGCTAAGTGAAAGAAGCCAAACACAAAAGGTCACATATTGTATGATTCCATTTACATGAAATGTCCAGAATAGGTAAATCCACAGAGACAGAAAGCAGATTAGTGGTTGCCAGGGGTCAGGAGAATTGGAGAGGAGAGAGTAACTGCTTAACGGGTAGGTGGTTTATTTTGGAGTGATGGAAATGTTTTGGAACTAGGCTAGTAGTCACACACCATCGTGGATGCCACTGAACTGTTCACTCTAAAACGGCTAATTTTATGTTATGTGAATTACACCTCCATTTTTTTAAAGCCTCTATGACCTGTAAAGAACATCATATTTCTCAAGTGCTAACCCAGGACCTATGGGCTCCCACGCTTAAGAAGTGCTCCTTTTATCTCATCTCGAGCCCTCATGCTACCAAAATACGCAGTTAGAATGAGTCACGGAGGAGGCAGGCTGGG